AATACAGAAATTTCAAATCAAATCAAATTCAAATTGACAAAATATTTGATTCGATTTGACTTTGAGGAACCCTACTAACAATACTTCGTTTAATAAGATCATATGATAAATATAAAGAATTGGTATTTGGATTATCATCTTCCACACGATCAATAAGTGTAACGTCACTCTTCTCAAGTTTCAGATCTAATCTATAAATCGCTACTGTGGTTTTTCCTAGAAGTTTATTCTTGATTTGTTGTTTAACATAAACATAAAAATACTCTAGATCTTTTTTCTCTCGATTTTCTTTAAGTTTATTAAAAAAACTAACAAGTTTAACTGAAATTTGTGATGCAAAATTTACATCAGTATATCCTTTGTATATTAAATTACTATTTTTGAGATCTCTTGGAAAACTATTCATAACATTTCCAGTATCCAAACAAACATATACTGAATATTTTCCTTCATCTTCCATTTTATTTTTTATTTTAATATTTGGATTTTTTTGATTTCCTTCTATTTTTTTTTTGAATTTTTTTTATAACATTTTTAGTCACACAGAAATTTTACCTTATTATTAATATGAATAATTAAATTAATAATAATTAATTTTTATTTATATTTGATTTTTTAACTTTTTATTAAAATCATTTAAAATGAACGATGAAAAACCAAAAAAAAAGAAAAAAAAATTCTAAAGATAATGAATTTGATCATCATAATTTAAAAGAAATCGTCGAACAAATTATTAATCAAAAAAATAACGATGAACCTAATGAAATATCAGAAATTGATGAATTAAAATCATCCAATAAAAAATTACAAAAAGAAATAGATATTCTTAAAAAAGAAAAAGATAACTATGAGAATACAATATCAACTCTGAAAAATGAACAAATTATCCTTAAAAACGAACAAATTACAACTTGTAATTTTTATATTTTAAAATATAACATTATTGAATATCTTTTAAAAAAACATTTAACAGAATTTAATAATTTCGTGTATAAAGATCTAGCTAACATAAATATGGATATCTTAAATTATCTGAATGGTGGAAAACAATCTGAAATTTGTAATGAATATTTTAAAAATTTGAATAATTCATATAATGATGTGTTATTGGATTATACTACAACAAATAATAATTAATTTATTTATTAAATAAAAATATTTTATTAATTATCCTCAAACGGATCCTCTTCATCATTGTTATTAACTTTTGAAAAAAAATCTGTTATTTTTTTTTGCTATTCTAGGTCGTTTAATATCTAATATTTCATATTCTTTTTGTTTTCTTTTATCTTTTTTAATATTTCCACCAATGAAATTATCTATCACACTAACATCATTTGTGTATTTACTAATCAAATCTTTTAAAATTTTTTCCACCTCTTTTTCACTGATACTTAACTCTACAGATAAAATCGATTTCACACCTTTTAAATAATGATATTTATCAATTCTATGCTTATTTGGATCAAAATGATCAACCAATTCCATTCGATTTGATACGCCTTTTTCTCTATTAATAGCTGTTATATAATATAAAAATCTTGGTGAAGGTACTTCTATTCCTTGTTTTTTCATTCTATTTATAAAATGAATAATACTTTTATTTCCTAAATTAGTAAACGATGCTTGCTTTAAAGTAGTGTTTTTATAAATGAAATCTTTATCTATCAAATGCCAATCGTCAAATTCTGCTAATCTTTTTTTTTCAATATCTATCTCATTTTGAAATATTAATTCATCTTCATCAAAATATCCTGTAGAGTTTACCATATTCTCTATTATATATTTTTTAATATATACTGTATTTGATATCTCTTGATTATTTTCATATAATATTAACTTATTATTTTTATCAAATCCAATTATCCCCTTATCTAGGTTATATTTTAAAAATTTTGTAAGTCTATTTTTAATAACTAAACCATCATCAATTTCATCATATTCATATTCTTCTTCATTTTCATCTTCATCACTATCACATTCTTCATCTTCATCAATTTCAGTAACTTTAAACCTGTTTAAATTTATCAATTGTTTTTTTCATATAATATAATCTTTCCATTTTCATATTTCCAATTATTTGTTTTAAAAGCATTAGTTTGCATTATTTCAATTATCAAAATTTCTTCATCATCATTTTCAGTATTGTTTCTTCCTGTCATTTCAAATAATTCCATATCTAATTCTGTTTCCTTTTGATACAAATATTTGATAAATTCTTCTGTTATATTTTCAAACACGTGTTTCATCCATATATTTTTTTTATCTTGTCCATTAATAATCATATAATATTGTTCAATATTTATGAATTTTAATTCATAAATATATTCTATATATTTATTAAGATCAAACAAAGTATATAACAACTTTTTTATAAAAATTCTTTATATCTTTGTTGAATTTCTACATACTATATCAACTCCTTTTAACAAGAGATTATCAAATTTTTTGCAATGTGATAATAATATATATCTATCAGTAGTTTCAATTTGCTTATCTTCAATATCAATCTAACTATTATCAAAATAATAATTTGGTTCAGTATATTTCAACATCGCATATTTTTTCTTTGTTTGATAAAATATTGGAAGTCCTGATTTTTCAAATTTAATGACTATATGTGGATTTTCCTCTTTTATCTATGTATTAATTTCTTTTTCAAATTTTTTAAATCGTGTAAACAATTCAAAAAACATATCGTTAATTAAATTAAAAAAAATTTTCTTAAATTCATCCAGAGAATTATTTTTATCTAATAAACTTTCCTTATATCGATGAATCATTTGATTTGTAAAATACGGATTTCTTGAAACAAATATCGAATCCGTATCTGAATACTCCCAAATAAATTCTGAAATATTAAGTTCTTTAACCATTCGAGATTCTGCAAATTCTGATACTTCAACTAAATACTTTCTTCCAAATGCAGTAACTGATGCTGATATCATGTAATTGTTAAGAATAGACAAACTACTTCCAAATTGTCCATAGATAGAATTTGCTAATTTTTTTAATGCTAGTTGCAATTCCTCATAATAATTATATTTAAATTCATCATCCTTATTATTTTTTTTATCTACTTTTGCTTGACTTCTTAGATCTACAAGTGATTTTAAAATATATGGTATCAATCCTTCTTTATTTTTTTCAAAATAAGCAGTCTTTCTATTAAATAATATTTCATGATATTCAATTCCTTTTTTCTTTGTATCTGAAAATATCAAAAGACAAATATTCTTTTCTCTCATCACACTTGGATATAATGAATTAAAGTCCAATACTCTTTTAGGAGTTATTGAAAATCCCTTATATTTCAGTTCTCTCATATATCCTCCTGAATATTTCTGTTTAAATTTATCATTTTTCATATAACTAAACGAAAGGTTAATATTTCGTCTATAAGAATAATCAACGATTAAATTATTAATCATATTTGTCATATTGCCTAATGCATATTCTTGAACTGTGATACATGATATCTTGGACATTAATGAATATTGAACATTTTTGAATAACTTTTCGTAAATTTCTTTTGGAGCCTGACAATCTCTTATACAATAAGTTAAAATCAAATTGCATTAGTTTTTTTTGGTAATTTCATCATATTCGTTGTTACGACATTTGATTATTATATCATACATATGTTCAATAGAAAGATCTTCCTTTGAATCCAATCCAATTTTATTTAAAATATCATTTAAACTCCATGTTGTTAAATTTCCATAATGTTGTCGTGCTTGTATTTGCATATCATATGCAATTGTACCACCAACTTTCATGAAATAATGATTTGCAAATTCATTCGCGCTTATCTTTGCTTTTTTTACTACTCGATGATATTTGATAACTGACTCGACACTTTTTGGTTTTTTTTTATATAACGTTTGATAAAATGTTTCAAATAATATACATTCATACATTTTTCGAATTATAAACTTCTAATCGTATTCTAAAGTATTCCAACCACTTTCTCTGTCAAGACTAAAATTTTTATACACTTGAAACATGGTTATTAAGAAATCTGCTTTTGTTTTCACTTCAATCAAATCAATCAGATTCTCATTTGGATTTTCATATTTCATTGGAAATTCATCATTCACTAACACAATCGCTATTATATGAAACAGTTTAACTTCAGAACCCCAAAATAATGCGTAAACCCCCATGAACACAATATCAGTTTTGAAACCTTTTGATACTTTTCGCATCTTGTGATCCATGGTGCACAACTGAGTTTTCTTTACAGTTTCAAGATCCCAATACATTGATAAATAATGATCCTTATTAATTTCTTCAATAAATATCATTGTGGAATAATGAAATTTATTTGTAGAACTCTACATATTTCTGGATAATTTTGTGTAAGTTATGAAAGTACCCGACAATGGAAACGCAACTTTTTCATTTGAATTTTTAAATTTGATATGCGTTCGAACCATTATAAACATTAAATATGATGTTGAAATATCATCCTCATATAATTCAAAATCAATTTCTTTTTTTATAATTAATTCTTTTAATCATGATATCTCTTTTTTTCTCAAGTTATGATTTTTAAAATAAACTCTAACAAAAAAACATAGTTTCTGTTGAAAATTAACACGTGCTTTATTCAAAATCTCTGCATTCTTATAATTTCTACCCTTTTGCAACTCTTTTAAAATATTACTATATATTTGATAATTTGGTTTATCACATACATCCAATTCGTTAAGTTTTATATCAAAATAAACTAGAAAACCCTTTATCAAAATATAGGTATGTAAATTATTTGTACCAGCAACTTTTACTTTAACAAGGTATTTGTCAGTTTCTGGATCTTTAAAATCTTCTATATCATCAAGTATATAATACTTTTTATCATTTGAAAATTGACCAGTAAAATCAAACTGATTTTTCATTGTTAAAAATTTAAAATTTATTGATAATAAATAAATGAAATAAAACATAAATATTTATAATTAGGCCTCCGCACGGGCCTGGGCTACCCATGGGTACCCTTAGGGTAGTACTATATGAGATAGACCGGGGTATTAAATTATAAACCCTTAA